TCCTTTCATCCCAGCACCCAGAAGGCAGACAGATCTCTGGGGGTTCAAGGACAGCCAGGGCTATATAGTTAGGCCGCTCTCACAGACAAAACAAAACAAACAAAAAGAGACTAACTAGGTATTAGTTATTGGAGTTAAGCCAATTAAATTTAGAAAATGGAGTTTTGGAACTACATTTTCATTGACAAATGCTGAGCTATCAGGTCAACTACATATGTTAAACTCCATCATAACAACGTATCGCCAGCACTTGGGAAAATACTTTCTTCTTTCTAAGGCAAAGACCCCACATGTTATATAGATTTTATATAAACAAACAAACAAACAAGAATGGCCACATGGCTCTTTCATGCTACTTGAAATACTTTCTGGTCCAGACAATGGTTCTTTCAATCTGGATTTTCAAAGTCATGAACCTTTAAACTAGTTCTATCCAGAATCTAAATATTAAAGTTATAAACATCTAAGAAATCATGTGTGTGTGGCCACGTGCATGCCACAGTTCATGTGTGGAGGTCAGAGTACAACCTTTCAAACATGTTTTGTGAATATATGAACATGTGTGCCATATGCATGCAGTAGACATAGAATGACATGCAGAAGTCAGTTCTCTTTACCCTGTGGGTTCCCTGGAATGAACTCAGGTCATCAGGCTTAACAAGTGTTTTTATCTGTTGAGCCATACGGCTGGCCCAAAAACATTCTTTTTAAAATGAGTTTTTTTTTTCTAAAGTCTATGCTGTCAATGATTTAGAAAATAAGGAAATTTTTGGTAGTTTCTCCAATTATTATATGCAGAAAAACTTTCAACTTCTGTAGTTTGGATCTAGAATGTCCTCTGAGGCTCACATACCAAAGGTCCCCAGGGAGCATCAGCAGGAGGTGGTGGAGCCTTCAGTGTGAGGTACAGAGGGTTGTTGGTATAATGTTCTTTTGAAATGTATGCACCTTACCCTTGTTCATTCAAATGCTGATTTCTCCCCCCTACTCTCTGGTTTCAATCTGGATATTGCATTGTGATTCTTATTCTAAGCATCCTGTCTCAACTGTGTGTAAACAGGCCAAAATAAAGCAACTAGCTACAATGTTGTACAATGGGAGGAGCCAGAGGACAAGAAAGAGGGGAGGAGCTAGAGGGCAGGAAATGGGTGGGAGGAGAAAGGAGAAGAGAGCTAAGAGAGGAGGAGAGCTGGAGGAGAGATCTTGGAACTAGATGGAGATGGGCTGGACCTAATATATCACTAAAAGCAAGTATAATGGGTGAAATCTAAATGTTAGGAAACTATGAGGGCTTGGAGGTTTAGGAGGGAGTAACTATTGCCCAGCATTGTGTTCTAGGTTAACTAAATAAACCCAGTCTCTGTGTGGTGATTTGTTTATACAGCTGTTAGGACTAAAGCAGCATTACCAGAAGATATATCAGTAGTAAATTTTAAGCACCCAACAACAAATGGCACCCAACTAATCTAGGAGTCCACACCCTTTAACTCATACTTAAACATAATTTGGAGGGGGGAATAAGCTTCCAGTGATAAAACCCAAACTTAAAACCTAAAAACTCCCAGGTCAATTACTGTCTCTTTAGGAGAGACTCTTAAACCGGCCCAGGAGCAAAAGACAGCCTCCTGTGGGCAGACCTGAGACTTCGATAACAAAACTGGCTGCTGCTGCAGTTTAACTGAGGGGTAAACAAGCATGGCTCTTTTATACTGTGGCTGGCTCAACTAGCTCAGCTCCACAGCCATGGCAGAAAAGAAAGGAACTGAAGGCAGACAAACCTCTAGAGATGCGCTGGACCTAATATACCACTAAAAGCAAGTATAATGGGTGAAATCTAAATGTTAGGAAACTATGAAGACTTGGAGGTTTAGGAGGGAGTAACTATTGCCCAGCATTGTGTTCTAGGTTTATTAAATAAACCCAGTCTCTGTGTGGTGATTTGGGTATACAGCTGTTTAGGTTTAACAGCAGTGTTACTAAAAGATAAATCAATAGTAAATATTAAACACCACTTAAAACAGAGGGTGGTCCTTAAGATGTTAAAAAGCATGCCCTTGAAGGGGATCCTGGGATCCTGGCCTTGTTTCTTTTGCTTCCTGGTTTATCTCCTCCGCACACTCCGTCTTTTCACAGGCCTGAAACAATGGAGCCATTGGATACCAGACTGAAACCTTCAGAACTGTGAGCTGGAACCAGCAATGGTTACCTCGGCTATTTTGTTAAGGTGATGATGGGAAACTACCACACTAACGGAGAGGGATGTGCACACTGAGCCACTCAGTCACAAATGCCAAGCGAACCAATTTACACAGGGCTCTGGGGGCAGGGACACAAAGAGAGAAACACGGTTATGCAATTCAGTTATGTAACTCACATCGCCTATAAAGAGAGACACATCAGTTGTCAAGAGGGGGCAAAGAATTTAAAGCTTCCAACTAGAAAAGAAGATTCCCTGGTGTTCATGTAAGGACAGAGTGGGATCAAACACACAGCAGCCCTGTAACACAAACACTGCTGAGCTGTAAAAGCCCTGTTTGCCAGCACCTCTCCATGTGAACAGGGAGTATGTGGTGTGAAGGGTTAGTTTATTGGTTGTAGCATATGGAATACCAGCTCTCTAATTTTGTAAAACTGAGTAATTACTTAAATTTTCTGTGATATAGCTTTCTGAGTATTGTAATTAATAATATCACCTACCCAAAGGGCTGTTACAGGACTTAAATGAGCTAGTAATGCCTATACCATGTTGAAACAGAGGCAGCACAGGTACAGGAACTGTGTACTTCCCATGTGTAAGCACCATTGTTACTTTAGTATGCTTACACCTGAACAACAACAAAACCAAAACAACAATAAACCCAAACCAGTTAGGACAGCTATCTTCCCATGTGTTTACCTCTACTCCAAACTGAATTGCTTGACTATCTGAGCAATAGCCAGGGTTGTCTGGACAGAAGTTGGCACATCTTATGTTAAACTTTCAAGTGTTTGGTGAAATGGCTTTAGTTGGAATTTTAAGGATGCTGTTATAAGCAACTGAAACTAACTTAAAAGTTGAGGTAATTATTTTGTTTCCTTGATCTCATCCGTGCCCAGGTCTTATTGTCCTTTACAGACCTGTGTAATTTAGCTATTTGACATTCTCCTCTAAATGTGGAGGTCCCTCCATTAGACCTCAGTCACAATGCTGAATCTGTGAGGCAGCCTGATAAACTGTCTTCTTTTTCCTCGATAAAGGACAACGCACCAGTAAACTGTCATTTTTATTACTGACTGTACTAGTTTCTTATGGCTGTTGTGACAAGTTAGTACAGACTGGCTGGCTTAATAACAATTCTTGTTACAGTTCCAGAGGTCAAGCTCTAAGTACAAGAATCCATTTGCTTGCCCTTTCCAGCTTCTATAGGCTGCCTGCACTCCTTTGTTCCATTTTCAAGGCTCACTGGGCAGTATCTTCAAAGCTGTGCCCTCTGCTTCTCTCGTATGCTTTCTTCTGAGTCTGATGCTCTTGTCGCTGGCACAGCAGGCCAGTTCAGGGCACTGTCCTCATACCCTTAACTGATCCATGTCTGCAGACTCCCTTCTACCCCGTTCCAGAACCTATCAGCAGACTGTGGCGACGGGGAACATTTTTCTGTAAACCACCACTAACAAAGTTGGAACTGGGTGTTACCTGTGGGCGGTTCCCTAATGTTAAACTCTAGGATTTGCTTTGTAGCCCTAGAATAGGCAGCTTGATGCCACCACAATCTAACAGTTCCTCTAGAGACTTCCCATGTCCGCCTTGTGTTTTTTTTTTTTTTTTTAATTATTTTATTTTTTATTTACTAATCCGGAAGTCAATTCTCCAAGGAAAAGTAAACTGGGGACGCGTGTAGCAAAATCTAGAAGTCCTAAATTAATGGATACCGTTCTGCATTAAAGATGAGTGGGGCGTGTTTTCCCAACCAACAAGCCCACATTCAAACTCACCACACCACCAGTCATCAGTAAGGAATGCCTTTACCGTTTGGTAACTTACACACCTGCAGACACAAAGGCAGCTTTGTTTCCATCTGGCTAAATGTTATTCCCACCTGTCTCAGCAACCATGCTAGAAACCTGGGCTACTGAGTCATGTCCCCCGCCCCCACCCCACCCCGCCAGCGTTGGCTTCCAGGTTAACATCCCTACTTGTCTGCGCCTTGGTTCGGATCGCTTTTCCAGTAGCCTCAGATGGGCTTCCCTGGCCCAGCCCTTGCTGTTTCTGTTCTTTTTCACTCCTATTTAAGACGTCCTTGCTTGGAACGAAGTTTTCCATCTTCAAAGCCCCCCACCCTGATAGGTACCCAACTTTCAAGGGAGACGGCTCTCCAGTTTAGCCAGTATCAGACTTGCAACCCTGCTTCCACGGCTTCAAAGTCCACAATTCCTGCTTTTCTTGCTCTACCTGTTTTTGTTTTTTCTTTCTTATGTGAAGGATGCAGTCTAATGGGCTTTATACTTTACATCTGTTAGTCCTGGAAAGTGGGACGCTAGGTGGTTAACGTCCGCGCTTCTGCTAGGACCTTGAAATTCGGAGTTCGAACGAGACGTGGCTCCCCCGCAGCCCGGCACGCATTATTTCGTGTTAAATTCACAACTCTCTAGCGCGGGCAGGTCGGGTGTTAGTCGTCCCACTTACAGAACGAGGAAACTGAGTCACGGGATCCCAGGCCTGGCCTTCACAGCACCTTGATGCTGTTAACGACTCGCTTGGCCCCTTCTTCCTCCTTGTACAACTTCCGTGCAGCTAGCACGAAAGGCAAGAGACCGACTGCAGAAGGATGAGGCTTTCTTCCAGCAGGCGCTCCGGCTCTTCCCCATAGGCAGTGACGCGGCCCATGACGCTATTCAGTGACGTAGGATGACGTGTTTACCCTGAACCAGGGGCCCGCAGGGCGGCCACACCCTTAGAGCCCGGTCCAGGAGGGGCAGTGGCTCCGACCCTTCGAGACCAGCCGCAAGACGCCGCCGGAGACGACCCCGGGCCCCTGAAATCCTGGGTCCTCCGGGCCCGGGGTTGAGCCGTTGCTAAGTGACGTCAGCGCGCAGGGCGCGTGCGCGGCCACGGCGCTGTACGTGAAAGCGGGCGCGCGCCGCGACGGCGGCGGCGAGGAAGGCGGCGACGGCGGCGGTCCAGGGGGCGGTGGCCACGACGCGGGTTCGCTACCGGCGGAAGGGACGTGTGTGGAGGCGGCTGGGTCGCTGAGGATCATCGTCGGGGTGAGTCGCCGGGACCGCTCCGGGGAGGTGGGGCCGGGCCGCACCTGCTGCGCGGGCCCGGGGCGCGGGGACGCGCGCCCCCCGCCGTCCCCGCGCCCGCCGCTCCACGCCCCTCGGCCGCTGGTTCCGGGGGCGGGGACGGGGGCTGACGAGGGTCAGTTCCGGGGCCTGGCGCTCCGGGGGGCTCGCTGGAGACGGCTGCCGAGGGACCAGTGCCTGAGTTCCAGGGTGACGCTGCCCGTTTCCCTTCCGCCGAGGAATTCGGAAGCGGGAGAAGCCCGCGGTCCTCAGCAGCCTCGCGCCGGGACCGGGACGCGACAGTGCGAGCCTGACAAAGGCGGAAACGGGGACCCTCGGGGTTGGGGGTTCACGAAGTTTCGGGCTAAGCGCCAAGGGCTTCGTCGGAGTAGGAGCGGGTTGTTCCGAAGAGAATCCCTGACTGCGTGAGCGTCGGGCACACCCACGAGCGGGGGAAGGCGTCCTGTCAGTGTAGATGCCGCTTGGCAGACCTGTTGCTTGGACCTTCCAGCCTCACGTGTATGCCCACGTGCTCCTCTGACATTTTTATCCCGTGTTGGTGCACATTTTGAAGCCAAGGGACTGTGTCTGTCCAGTGTTGTTACCTCCGCGTACACTCAAACCCGCCCTTGTGTTTATTTCGCAGAACTGTGATGTATATGCTTTGGCCATTGCAAGGCCCTCGAGGGTAGGGCAGACCTGCGTTTTGTGTTTGTTTTTTTTCCAGAAGCAGTGCTGACTGTTATTTATTGGGGTGAAAATATAGATTGCGTTTTCCGTGTGTGGGCTGGAATGGTGAAGCTGGAGTAAAAAGATGGAACTAGCCACCAGCCAGTAGTGTGAAGGACTCTAGTGGGACGGGTGTGTGGTGGAGGTTCTAACTGTCCTTGGGAAAGAATGGAGACAGATGGAAGAAATAATTTCTCCTGTTACCTGTTAAAGGCAGTGCCTAAAACCAGTGACAGGATAGGGAGCACTGACATTTAATCATGCATAAAAATCGAGGACGTACCTTCAGAGTTTTCACCAAGAATTTACAACCCAGAGACTCGGTTTTATAACCGACACTCTGTGAAGGAGGGCATAAAAAGTTCTTACGTCTTAGAATCCATACAACTTGCTGTGTAAGACCAAATACTCAGAAGCTCCTGTTCTTCTATAAACTTTTAGTACTGGTCATCCGTTTTCCTTTTTTTGCTTGTGTCTCCTACAAAACTGCAGGCTACAGAGTCGACACAGGAGATACTGCATCGCATTGTGCATAATTGGTTTATCAGTACTCGAGAAGCATTTAGTTTTGTCCGTCACATATTTAATACAACTGCCTTCCTCTTTCTAGAGTTGTGCTGAATTAGTGAGGGGATTGTGGGGTCACAGGTGAGGTAGGTGGCCAGGCCTTTTTCCTTTAATAATAAGCTGTCTGGTCATGAATAGAGAGCATGCATATATAAAACCATCAAGGAACTAAAATGAGGTAGTAGTATTAGGTGAAACTATAGTAAAGGAGAAATTTATACAAGGGTCAGAGATAGGGCTGGCCATTAAAAGAAGCGTAAAATGGGAATTAGGAAAGAGTTTAATCCTGTGGTGAAAATTTAATGTGGATTAAATTGGTCGTTGGGTGGTGGAGGGATATTTTGAGGAGACGTGTGAGTGGAGCAGAGAAAGGTTCCTCATACAGAAATAGTGGAGAGAGAAAATTTAACAGGGTGGGAGGAGAAGTGTTACAGACAACCCGTAACAATAGGGTAGAACCTGAGCTGGTTAGTGTTTTTGTCAGCTTGACAAACTAGACTCACTGGGAAAAGGGAACCTCTACTGAGGAATTGCTTCCATCAGATCGGTCTGTGTGTGAAGCTGTGGGAGCATTTTCTTACTTGATAACCGATGTGGGAGAACCCACCCACACCTCTGCAGAGCTATCCCTGCCAGGTGGTTCTGGGTTGTAGGAGAAGCCAAGCCAGGAAACAGCATGTCTTCTGCTTCCAGGTTCCTGCCTTGGCTTTCCATAACGATGGACACTTAACTTGTAAACAAAATAAGCCCTCTCCCCAAGGTGGTTTTATTATAGGAAAAAAAAAAAAAAAAGTCAAACTGGAACTGAGTTTCTTTGCAGGGTGGAATGAGGCAGTATTAATCAGAACAAAGTCTTAGACAGGAGTCAGTTACACGTGTTATTCTTTTAAAACATCTCTGTTTCTGGAGATAGGTTTTTGCCATATCTACCTGGCTGGCCTACAACCTGTTACGTAGACCACGTTGTTGTCAGACTTAGTACGATCCTCCTGACTCTGCTTCCTGAGTACTGGGATTACAGACATGGACTACCGTTTTACTGAGAGGGTATCTGACATTTCTGTATCCATTGATTTCATTGGAATAAATGCTTCTTTCCTGTTCATTTATCCTAGGTCGTCAGTATTGCATGGCCCAGCCCTCAAAATTAGGCCCAGCCTAATGGGCTTAGGCTGCTTTCTGTTCTGGACATTTACAGAAATGATGTAACCAGATTCGTCATCGTAACTATACACAGTTTCCATTGTGATTATCTCTCAATAACTCCTGAGCCTGTGACAGAAATACAAATAATGTTAGCTAGAAAGGAAGTCTATCTGAAGAAAGATACTGAGAAACATTGACAAAAAGATCCGAGAGTAATTAGACAGCTGTTGGAGAGTATGAAATCATCTTTAACTGTTTATTATTAGAAAGTTCTTGAGCTCTTTGTAGTGACACACACTTGTAATCTCGGCACTTGGAGAGTAATGGATAGAGGCTCGGGGTCAGCAGCACCCTCTGCAACAGTGAGTGTGAAGCTGGCCAGAGCTATGTGGGATTCTGTCTCCCTTCATTCTCCCTCCCTCTCAAAAGACAAAATTCTGTAGGATGGTTTGTAAGCCTGGGGTTGAATTGCTGAGATGTGTAGAGTTACTTGGCAAATGTTGCATTATTTAACAACTCAGCAAATATTTATGAGGTGCTAGCTATGACTAGCTATTCATTCTGCCGGGTGCTGAGAGGACGAGGGTGAATGAGATGCTGTAATACCCGTGACATATATGTGTTCATCAGAGATGACAAGCCACTGGTTGTTGTATGTTGTGATAAATTAATTACTTTTAGAATTAATAAAGTACTAGAGAAATTGACTATGTTTGGGAAAACATGGGTGGTAAAAGATTAGGAGAGAAGAGGATAGACCTTAGCCTCAAAGGTTAAATAGATTTTTCCTGTATGTAAAGAGGAAGGGAACTTTCTAGGTAGATAGTCTTTGTTAAACATTAAAATGGAATGGTCCTTTTGGAAACTTCTTGATTTTTTTTTTTTTTTTTTTTTTTTTTTTACCAGCTTAATGAGTTGAGCCAAATTATGAAGGGACCTAAGGGATCTTTCAGCTCTTTCATGCTAACCTATTCCTCTCTCTCTCTCTCTCTCTCTCTCTCTCTCTCTCTTTAGCCCTGGTTGTCTTGAAACTGGTTATGTATACTAGTCTAGCCGGGAACTCACAGAGATCCACCTGCCTCTGCCTCCTGAATGTTGGGATTAGAGGGATACCACCACATCTGGCCCTCTCTGTTCTAAAGGTCTAGATCCACTGTTCATTTACTTGGCAATTGAAAGCTAAGGAAAGTAGATGAAGCACATCACAGGAACCAACCAACAGCCCCACATAGGTTGCCTTAGAGTAGAGACACAGCGACGTGCTGGTATTTCAGGAGGGGAAAGTGGGATGGGTAGAGGTCAGAAACATGTTAGTTGCTAAAAGTAAAAATATCTGCAGTGAGCAAGTGGCTGATTATGATGCCATTAACTTAGAAAATAAAGGAGGGAGCAGTGGTGCTGTGTTCATTTTAAGGAGCTTATGGGGAGTTTCAGTAGACAGATCTTCTAGGTAGGTAGCAGAATCTACTATTTCTACCTCAGAGTTGAAGAGAGGGCCAGGAGCGCTGTAATGAAGATAACAGCTGAGACCACGTGAACACATGAATAGCAGTTGTCGAGGGGGCAGGTCGGATCACTAACTTCGGGAACTTTGGAGGTAGGAAGGTAGCAAGGCCAAATAAATCCCTGTGTACCATTTATTGGCTGTGTGACCTTGCCACAAACTAACGTCTTTTCTCCTCAGCTTGTTGTTGGCGTTAGAGAATTATTGTGCAGACTGAGGACTGCAGTGTGTGCTTGGTGATATCAGCGCATGCTGTGCATACAAACGCTGAACCAGTGGCAGGGTCACTGCAGTAATCGTAATAGATGTGGAAGTAGGTGGTCTAGCTCCGTAAGAAATCAGAGTGGGACCACACAGGATAAGGAGTAGAACTGGGGAAAACAGGCGAATCATCATTTAAACTCAGGTCATTTCTCGGCTACACCAGCTCTCAATCTGTATTCTGTTTCTGTGAGAAAATGCTGGGGACTGAAGAGTTTATAGATAACAGAAATTTGTTTCCTCAGACTTCTAGAAGTTGAGATGTCCAAGGTCAGGTGCTGTCATCTCCTCTTATAGGACCCCACTCCTGCAGTAGCAGCAGAGGCCTCATGCCTTACTACCTCACAAATGCACCATCTCAACACAGTTGCACTGAGGACTAAGTTTCCAATCCATGCAATTTGGAGAACCTTAAAACTATGGCAGTTTGAAAACTAGGGCATGCAGCATACATGCACAGACGCCTTGGTAAACCACAGCGATCCAGGCTTTCTGTGTTTCAGATTGAGCAAGTCTAGGCTGGCTTAAAGGGTTGCAGCTTGAACAAGTGTCCAGGTGGTGCTACGCTGGAACCAAACGTGAAAACAACTGATGTAGACCTGTGTGTAGAAGAGGGGTGAGCCTGGACAGATGGTGGAGGTTTTTGGAGAACCAGGGAGAAGTCCAGAGAAGAATGGGGAATATAATAGTTTCTAGACTGTAGGTTCATTACCTGAGTAGTTGCATAGATACTGTCTGTAGTTTTACCTTCTCCAGATTCCACCAAATGCCTGGT